ATGCTATACTTGCCTCGAAAACCTGCTTGCTCCCTCGGCTGCTGCTCATCAAGTGACGCTGTCAGACGGTTGGTAATGGTTTTTGTGAACAGCTTGCATACGTGGAACAGCAAGCAGATCGGGCGATAATTCTTCAGATCTTCTTTATCGCTCTTTTTATAGAGCAAAACGGTCCTCGATTCCATCCAGTTGCTAGGGGTGGTCTTCTCAGTCAGGTAGCGATTGAATCTAGTGGAGAGTGCCTTCCACAGTTTGTGTCCACCGGCTTTCAACAGCTCATTTCTGATACCGTCGTTACCGGGAGCTTTTCCGCTTTTCATCTGGAAGGTTGCGTTTCTTACTTCGCTGATCAGCACAGGAAGAGTTTGTTTCTTGGCGGTTAGAATTTCGGGTGCTGGTACGTCTACACATGATGCAAACAGATACGTGTAGAATTTTCTACATAGTTCTTCCATATCTGTTCGATTCGTGATTCGACGTCCATCTTCAGTTTTCAGCGCCGCTGCTATTTGATTGTACAACAGCATTTCCCTTTTGTATTTCTTCAGGCTTTGTTTTCCTTGAACCGCCGTAATTTACCTTCGGCGATTGTAGACTTCGAGGTCCTCCTTCAGCTTCTTGTGAATTAGCCTGCAGAGAATATAGTATGCTACATTCCTGATTTTATTCCGTTTCATGGTTCTTCTCTTTTCTAGTAGTTCTTTTGTCGCCTCTGAGATCCTCGAATCTAGTCGTCGAGGCTTAGCGTATTCGGCTCTTTTTGAGCTCCGGAGAAGCTTCTCAGTTAAATTTTGATAGTCTTCTTCAATGCTCACCGTCATGGTCCAGTCCGTAGTTCTGACTTATCTTTCCATCTTTGCTTCGTCTATCTCCGTGAGCCTTTTACGCGGGTGCGACACAAAATTCCGACCCAGGCACCTCGTCGTGGTGTGGGAGTGACAACGGCAAAATATCTCTGGCCGGCTAAGCTCGGGCGGTGCCACTGACAGCCTGGACCAGCGAGTGGTAAATTAACAGGTCTAACAATCGCAGCGTATCGCACCAGCGTAAAATTGTGAAATACTTTGGATAAAAATAAGAATGATTCCATTTGAAATGCAGTAAATCAGGTAAAATTATAACTTTTTATGGTTTCATAACAGGTCAAACCTGGTGAACACTAAAATATTATCGTGGATTACTAGAAATGCAGGACGTGAATAGAAAATTATAGCTTATATTGACATCCGAGCGAGAGTGTTTACGAGAATAACGCTTTTTATTAATTAAAAAGCTATTTAATTATCTTGGCGATTTATCCCATGTATAAAAAAATTTTCTCACAAAATGGAATTTAGAAACCTAGAGTTCTGTAATGCCGTAAGCTGTTCTTTCTAGGTTGACGTTCAAGAACCTTTCGATCCTCGAAAAGTTACGATTCTAAACGCAGGGTTGAAACGAAACGTTAAGTCGAAGAAGGAGTCGCAGTTCGATGTCAATTTCAAGGATGCTGGGAAAGGTAGATTTTAAATGATTGTTAATTTTCTTTTTGAGTATCTACGGTCTGTGCCTGTGTGATTTAGCTGAAGTGGAAGTGGTCGTATCTAAGGACAACAAAAAGATTGATGCTCAAGTGACCGACAATAAAAACGGAATTTGCACTGTCAAATTTACACCGGATTCTCCGGGCATCTACACAGCCTCCGTCCGTTTTGGAGGTAAAGAAGTACCAAACTCGCCTTTCACTTTCAACGTAGAGCCACATCTGGATGTTAGCGGAGTCAAGATCGAAAACCTTTATCAAAGTAAGCATGCTTTCTCCTGAGGAAGCGAAATTATTTTATTGATGAGCGTTATCCACCATTCAGAGGACAGAGCATTTGATGATACGAGTTTGCCGAGCTCTCTAAGGGAATAAATAAATACGACTCATGATTGAGGATACAGAAGTCCTCAGTGATCAATCTATTGAGTCTTTCTTGCAGCTGTGACAGAAAGGATGGCTGCGGCTAGTTGTGCATTCAGTGAAATTCTGTTAAGTTAATTTACCTGGTGAGTTTCCAACCGGCTTCGAGATATACGTATATATATCACCTATGTTCCGTGAGCTTGGTTCGTTAGCCATGATAGTTTTGATGACTGGATGGTAGCGGTTTTTTAGGTTACGTTGCCTTTACATGGATTATGCTTGCATAGCGTTATTTTAATCTCATATATTATTCTAGTCATTTACGCGGTAAATTTATCAATTTAAGTGTTCCTGGAAGTTAAAACTCAACGGCGATTTTAATTAAACACTAAACGACGCACTATCGATGATCAACTGTCCCCCTGGATAGAGCCTAACACTACTGCATTAGACTGACTGTCAGTTGCAGACATCTCATTCATAGGTTGAACAACTAGTCTCTGAAATCAGGCATTTTTAAACATATACTTGATGACGTAAACTTATTGTACGCTTACAGAGAACTACATCAATTCCATATCTGAGTTCACAATCGACGCGACAAGCGTGAAGCAGAAAGTAGGAACTGCTCCGGTCAAAGTGATCATCTTATCGCCCTCGAAGCGACAGATTCCGTGCAATATCAGTGACCAACGAGACAACATGTATACCGTGACATTTAGTCCGACTGAGGAAGGTACGAAACGATTCTGTGACAAAATGTGCCTGTTTTCGGCACTTTGTATTTAGGTACGCATGAACTGAACGTTCTCTACGACGGAGTTCCCGTAAGCCAGCGTCCATTGACTTTCGAGTGCGTTAGCGGCTTCGACGAAACTCGATGTTCAGCACATGGACCCGGACTCGAAAGGGGAATCGTGGGAAAGCCATGCGAATTCACGGTGGACACCAAGGTATAAGCAACTAACTCGAAGCAGACTCGTCATTTCATCATTACCCCTCATCCACATTTGACCCGTGAAAATGGCGTTGCTCTGAACATGCATTTCATGTGTCTGGCGATAATCTCACTGATTTTGTAAATCCTGTCGTGTACTACGGAGGTGCAATTCTTTTGGATTATCCTGAACAGCTAAACGAAGTGAGGCATAACAAGTTTAGTCACAATGTACTGGTTAAATATTGGCGGCATGGAATATAGCACCTTTCAATATCTATTACTGTATCGATAAGCATCAGTCTGTCCCTGTGTCTATCCGAATATCTTAACAGTTGCGCGTCCTCTTGTCCATTTATTTCGTTTAATTCAATTTATGACAAACTGTATGGATACTTTCTCTGATTTATCCTCCTTCCTGAGCGGTTTAGGGCATATATCATGTCTCATCCTAACGAACGACTTTCTCTTTCACTGACAGTAGTTCTAAACGTGACATCAGAAAACACTGCCACTGTGTTTGTAGGGCAGTTGTTGAGAGTCTGGCGCTAGCCACCGGTGTCACAATAAACTTCATCAGAATAATAGTAATACTTAAACTGGTTGGAATGGCCCAAGTCACGAATTCCTCTAAACTCCTACGTAATAACATATTTCCTAGGGAGCCGGCGTAGGCCAGCTGAACCTGATGATCGAAGGACCGTCGAAGGCAATAATTAATCAGGTGGACGACAAGCAAGACGGATCCTGCGCTGTGCGATACGAGGTATCCGAACCTGGCGAATATAAAATATCGATCTATTTTGGTGACAGGCATATATTAGGTCGGGTTACAGACCTTTCCTATAGTTTCTAATGCATTTATTTCCTTTAAGGCAGTCCTTTCCATTCGACCATCGAACACAAGGTTGATCCCAGCAAAGTAATTGCGTTTGGTCCAGGGGTCGAACAGAGCCATTGTCGTGCCGAAGTGCCGCTGGTGTTCCAAGTGGACGCAGGTCGCAGCGGATACGCTCCACTGAGTGTTACATTGGATCCGGAAACACCGGTTCATTCTACTCATAAACAGCCGCCGGTCACAATCATAGAGAAGGGCAAAAATCTGTACGAAGTTACGTACTACGCCCCGCCGGTGGGCACAACGTTCGACCTGCACGTGCTTCATGGTGGAAAGGACATCCAAAACAGGTGCGTGCCTTGCAACCCGGCTAAAACTTGGTTTTAACCGAGGTAGTTTCCTTGCAGCCCTTATCGACTCAAAGTGTTGCCGAAGTTCGAACCTGGTAAAGTAAAAATTAAAGGCATGGACGTGGAATCGTTGGGTGAGGTACCGGCGAGTCTACCTCTGACTTTGACTTTGGACAGTACGGCTGCGGGAGTTGCCGACATCGAAGCCTCAATCATGGTTCGTCGTTGTTTTGCTGTTTGAGTCCCAACGGCTGTAAACCACTGTCTGTTTCTTAGGACCCAAACAACCAGTTGCGCCCGATACAGGTGACCGAGTACGAAACCGGACTCACCGATATAACTTTCGTTCCGGACGATATTGGCTCGTACATCGTGGACGTCAAGTTCGCGAACGAAGAGGTGCCCGGCTCACCGTTTAAACTGAAGAGCTACGCGGTTGGAGACGCGGAAAAATGCTGGATCGCCGGTGAGCAGTTTTAGTTCACGAAAGCACCGTTTCCTATTCGTACATTCGCGAGTTAGAACACAGTTCGATCGACGTTCTATGCTTGGAAGGTTCCAAATAGCTACCTCCAATCATTTGACCAGGTTTGAGTCACTTCAGTGTTCCTAGTATGGTGGGATGCGAGGATAAGAACGTTTGCATATTAAGCGCATTACGCACAAGCGATAGAGAGGTTTTCACTATTTCTCAGTTCGTTTTTCACCGTGAGAAAATGATCAGTGCGTCTAGCCAGTTAATGGTTTCTCAGTTAGCTGGGAACTCCGAAGGTGCCGTGTTCGAATCTGCTCAAGGGACAACCTTTGTCTTAACCGCGAGTATCATTGAGCAAGCAGTCAGCTCCACTTTGCTTCGGCGCAACCAACGGAGAGACGGTTATGAAGTCGGCGATTTGCGGACTATAATGCAATATGGTGTTGTGGTCTAGCCAGAATACACGAGTTGAACGGCCATGCTGTCTGATGCGAGCACCCATTGTGAGCGCATTCCATCTTGACCCATCTTATAGCACTATCTAATGTAATAATCAGCACAATTACGCTATTTTTTCGATCAGCGCAAGGTGTAACCCTCATTTCTATTTTCTCTCATTTATGAGTCACGAAAAGCGGGGCGTGAAAATTGAAACATTATTTGCCCTACCGACTTCTTTCAACTGCGAGGCTTTAGCCGGTCTGTGGCGATGACTTAGGGGCTAAATAATAGAATGAAGCGATCCATCTTCAGGTCTGTTTATGCACCTACCCCCTCACATATAATCATCAGTAAAAAGTAATAGCTGCTGAAAGAGTACACATTCAGAAACAAACGGCCAGCGTGTAGTTTCCTAGGATAGCGGTGAGTGTCATGAGGCTCTTCAATCTTTGGTAACGATGATGTGGCGTTTCCGCTTGTAAATCGCGTTCTTTCCGAAGCGATGGATCGAAATTCAGTAGCTTTGGCAAGTGAACAGAATGTTGGTGGGGAGATTCGACAGCTGGACCCGTCTATCAACACTTCCAACAAAGACAGACCGGAATTTGGAGTATATTAAGTAACTGGTTCATTTGTACCTTGGAGCCCTTTCTACTGAGCGTGAGCAATTCGCATGGGATTCGGACCACTAAGGAAAACTACTGAAGCTATTGCTTCCGCAGTCCGAGAAAGAACGATCGGCTATCACAGTAAATCAGTGAAAGAATGAATCACTGATTGATTCATTGATTTAACTAATGAAGGGATAAATGAATGAATGACCAAGTCGGTAAATCAGTGGACCGTGACAACAATGAACGATGTAGACGAATGAGTAAGTATGTGAGTGAATGAACGAGTGAACGAAAGAATGAGCCGATGCGATATGCGTGAGTGAGCGAAGCAATGAATGAAAATGTGAGTAAATAAATTAGTGCACCAACGAATGATTGAATGAATGATCGAGTGACGCAGTGTGTGAGAGATGGCAAAAAATGCATAAAATACTGATTGATTGAATGAATACATATATGAATTAATTAATTAAGTAATTACGAGAATAGATTGTCAAGATATACAAATTTGACTTACTGCAGGTTTTTTTTGGAATTTATGGAAGATTCTTCGCGATATGCAGTTCGATGTTCGAGAGCGAAGTCGGGAGGGATATCTAAATTTTTCCAAATACGGAGATATTTAAAAATTTTTCTACGTATTTTTATGTCTGAATGTTACGTCTGACTTGGAATGGATTAATAGCCGGAAAATATGGACGTAATTTCTAACTCCCATTCTTTGCTGTTCGACAGGTGAACCGACAAGTAATACCTGGATTTTTTCAATGCTGATCCATTTCAAAGTTATAAATTGATATTTGCTATGCTGCATATCATATTTATGGTATATGTTCATCGAATAACGAATGACTCCTTCAAGAGCAGAAATTTCACGTATTGTACC